ATGATGCTGAAAAATTCAGAGAAGAAAGTAAAAGTTTAATTGATGATCTTAAACATAAAGTTTCAAAATTAAATGAACGTGAAATAACAACTGAGAGTTATATTCAAGATCTTGAAGCAAAGCTTAAAATTAATTCCAGTGAATATAAAAAAGATCAAGAAACAATCAGTGATCTTCGAAGACAACTTATAGAAATTAGAGATACTGGTAATAATAGTGAAGATATAATTAATCAACTTGAAACTCGTCTGGAAACACGTGAAAGTAAAATAGAATTTATGAGTAAAAATGCTGAAAAACTTGAAAAAGCTTTAGAACAACAAAAAGATGCTTATTCCAGATTAGAAGAAAATTATAAACAAGAAAAACTTACAAATGAAGAAGACAAAAGATTACTTATGACAGGAATTGAGGATCGTGATCGTAGAATTTCTGAATTAGAAAAGAAAGTCGAGGAATTAATTGATGAAATATCACAAATGAAACGGATAATGGATACGAAAAATATTTCTGTTAGAAATTATCGTTCAAATTCACTCGCTTCTGCTTCTTCAACTTCTTCTGATCAAGATACACCTCTTTCCACTCCACCTGATTCAAATACTCCAAAGTCATCTGTAAATTATGCCTCGGTGTTGGGTTTAGAATCGAAATTATATCAACTTCAAAAAACTCATGAAAAGACAGTCTCAGAATATAGTGAAATAAAGAGTAAATATACCTCATGTCTTGAAGAAATTCATGAACTTCAAGAACAACTTCAAGAAATTAGGTTAAACGTTAATATAGTACCAGGAACGTCATTAAATTCTGCCGCATCTTTGGGTGAATTTACAGATAAATGTTTAGACTCTCTATCGCCATTCACTCATGGTACCCATCGTAAAGCCAAATCTCTATCTGATGAATTCAAAGGCGTAGAAAAACGCGAGATTTCTAATACTGCAATGATTCAAAAACTTCAAATTGAATTAAAACAACTCGAATCACTTCATGAAGATAAAAACCAAGGTCTTAATGCTGTTAAAAATGAATTTGCTCGCCTTGAGATTAATCATCGGGAAGCTCTTGAAATTGTTGAAGAACTTCGCGAGGAAATAAAAAGAAGGGATGCCCTTGCCCAGGTTGAAGTCATGTCCGTCATGGGATCAGAGTATACATATAACGAGGGAGGATATTATTCTACAGCAACTAGTGAAGTTGATCAACTTGAGATTGTTCATCGTCTTCGTGAAGAAGTAGAACTACTCAAGGATGAACAGCGAAGGACCTTGGAAAGTATTTCTGAGCGTGAAGAAAGTGAAAAAAATGAAGTTAAACAACTAGAAACCACTATAAATCAACTTAAATCTGAAATGCAACAATTACTTGAAGAACAGGCTTTAAAGAATGCTGAAACCTCTGATATTGCATCTGATAATAATGATGACCATGTAAAAGAAATGCAATTAACAATCAAATCACTTGAAGAACAATTAGCTGAAGTTAAACGACAGATTGATATCACGAACACCGTTTCTCGACTCGAGGGTAACGATAAAGAGTCAGATAAAGAAAATTCTGAACTTAGGCAACAAGTTGAAAAGCTCCAAAATGAAATTGAAGCAAAGAGCCATACAATAGCTGCATTATTATTCCCATCTATCGAACATCAAAATACCATTCGCAGACTTGAGGATGAACTTGAAAAGGTTCGAGAGGCTCATCAACAAGCTATTTTAGAAAAATCAAGCCAGTTGGCTTCAATTTCTGAAGAGTTTGAAGGCGAAGTTGCGGATTATTCTAGGGAACAAGCTTATGATAAACATGTACAAACGCTTGAAGAGAAAGTAAAAGATCTTGAAGCACAATTGAATAAAGCAAGAGAAGCACAGCATATTCCAACACCTCGAACTTCAATTCATTTTGATATTGATCCAACACGAACTAACATAAAAGGTATTGAAGAAAAATTAGATACTTTGCAACAAGAGTTAGTTCTTAAGTCAAAGACAATTGAAAATTTAAATGATGAGCAAGAAATTGTTGCAGCACTCCAAGAACAACTCTTCATGCTTAAATCAGATATTCAACACAAATACGAGCGTATCGAAATTTTGAAGAGAGATCTTGCTGACAAGAGCATGTTACAGCAAAAATTAAGGGAAAAAGAGGCTGAAGCATTGATTTTCAAGACAAAACTTATGGAAGTTAATAAAAAAGAACAAGAGTCGGAAGAAGAAATTCAAAAACTTAAGGAACAATTAAATAGGTTAGAAAGTGGAGAGGATGTGAATGAAGTTCTTCAAGAGGAATTGGATAGGTTAAAAAAGGAAATCATAGAAGTCCGTCAAAAAGAATCTATTGCACTTGAGAGATTTCGAGTATTGAAAGCCAAATTAGGTTCAGACCCGGAGGAAAATCAACTCCAAGATGAATTGGAACGTTTACGTATTGTGGAAATAACACAAAGAGAAAGAATAAGAATTTTGGAAAGTAAACTTTCTGAGCAAGGAGGTCACGTTGAATATGATATTGCACAACTCCAAAATGATTTGTTGCTAACTAAGGAATCAGAGGCCGCACAAAAGAATAAAATTGAAAGTCTTGAAGCAAATTTGCGTAAAGCTGAAGATAGATCACAAATAAGCGCATTTCGACGTGAGATAAATGGTTTGAAAGCTAAAGAAACCGAACAATTAAAAAGAATAGATGAATTAGAACTTCAATTAAATGAGACATGTGCTAAGGACTTAAACGAAATTAACAAACTTAACGAAGAGCTTGAGAAAATGCGAGCTATAGAACGAGAACAACGCAAAAACATTGAAACCCTTGAAACACGATTAGAACTTGTTAACGATGAAGATCCTAATATTTCCTCTTTAAGAGATCAAATTGCCAAACTAAAGGCTTCAGAGTCAGATGCGCGTAGAACCGTTCAGGAATATGAATCAAAACTCGCAGCAGCACAGAAAGAAGCCAAAATTTTCGATACAGTTAAAGAAGAGGTCAAATTCTTGAAAGAATTAGAGATTGAACAAAAATCCACTATTGAACAATTACAAGCACAACTTCATAAACTTAGAACTTCTAAAGAAGTTGTTGTTAACGAACTTCAGACTATGAAAGGAGGTTTTAATCTTCAAAAGGATTTAGTCATCTCACTCGAAAAAGAAGTAAACTCTCTAAGGGAAAAATTGGCTGAGATAAAGGATAACGACACAAACTCATCACAGGATCTTGAAGAAATGACCAACTTGATAAGCAGAACTCAAAAGGAACGTGATGATACCCAAA